GCCCAAGTTTAACAAAGAATCTCAAGCTGGAAATCTTAAGTTCAGTAGTGATTTTAGTTTATTTGCACTTGATGCATAGAACTACATTGGTTGTTTTTTTTTTTTGTTTTTGTTTTTTTTAATGTGTTATGTGTATCACAGTGCAATTTATTTACATTGAACCCTAAATGTGGCAATTGATTTTTTTTTTTTGACCATCCAGTGAATTCTGCCAAATTAGAAAAATTAGTTGAATCACTTTAGATGAAGGCATAAAAAATACCTGTGGTTCTTTCAACATCAGATTTTTATCCATTCAAGCCTATTAGAATTGCATATTTTGAAAAACAAGCTGAAATGATTTACTAAAAGAAATTACCACTGTCAAAAGGGCTGCATTTGTGCATATTCTATTTTTTAGCACTTCAGTATTGGCAAAACACCACTTCTAATCATACATAAACACTTTTACTCATTCCAGACATATTTGTTGAAAATGCAGAGACTGCGCTACAAGCAATCAGCATCCGTCCAGGACAAACATGTATTGTTCGAAGTGATGCATTCCCCAATCAAAAACAAGCCTTTATTTTCTAAACATGAACGATTAAAAAACGAGTGTAATCAGGAGGTGAAAAGACTTGACTATGAGAAAAGAACACTTCTTCACATATTAGAAAGAGACCAGCTGAGTATTGAAAACAGAAAAAGTGTTCATGACAGGAGTCAGAGTGCCAGTTTAGTACCATCTACTGACAAAAAATTCGGTCAGTTATATAGAGATGCTCCCCATAATTCATCAGATGAAATTGGATCTAGACCAAGGACAATGTTCAGCAGATCAAAATCATCACAGGAGTCTTTACCACCATTACACTCTCATGATAGCATCGGTAGACAAGGGAAAAGTGTAGAGAAAAACTTTCTTTCTATTAACCGTTCTCATTCAGTGTGCCCTAATATTGTCCGTTTGCAAATGTCCCAAAGAACAAGGGAGGACATTTTGGCCATGTGGAGAGAGCAAACTGGAATAAGAAAGACTGACACACAGGAAGAAAAGACAGTTATTAACTCCTGGGACAGGACAAATGATGGATCTTCTAATGGCATAATTGATAAATCTTCAGGGAACAAAAACAGTGATCCCTCTGATAGTGTAGGTCCTGACAAAATGAAATGCTTTCGTGAATTCAATCCATATGAACAACTTCTGGAGACTTGGACATCCTTTGCCTTACGTCCTGACTTGGAAGGACTTCGCAAAGTGGCTCAGATGTCTGTAAGATTACGAGGAAGAAGTAAAAACTGGTTGTCAGAAAGGCAAGATCCTACTGAGCTTAAAAAGATTCAGAAAAAGATGAAATTGCTTAAATTGTTGCAGCCTTAAAGTTAATTGGGCCTACAATGTACATTATGTAAGCAAAACAAAAAGTGACCTTTATACAGCCCCACAAAATGTGCTTTACTTATTACCAAAAGTCTTGATCATGCCATATAGTTTTATCACTAGTACTCTAATCATTCATATTACCATAATTTTGATTACCATGGTCATTTAGTTACAGTAAAATCAAAACCTCACATTAGAGTGTGGCAAAAAATGAAGGAGATATAAAAAATAATAACTAAATAAAAATTAAATGTCATAGTGATCCATACCACGTTTTTGAAAAACACTTTCCGTTATAAAAAGTGGTGAGCTTAATTGTTTTCTGGGCTACGTACAGCCCGTACAAATATGATCTCAGATCATAAAACGCGATTAAAATACTGCACATTGAATATCACTTTGTGTAATGGTCAAATAAATGTATCTACAGTGCAGAAAGTAGATGTAAAGCGAAACAGTCAAGTTAACTTAATTACATATACATACAAGTATATCAGAAATTGTATAAATCAGAGAAGTGTAACGCATGAAACTTTTTGCTGCCTATTTGCCTGATTTTTCGTGTGCGGTGCGAGTAACAATCACGCCTCCAACTGTAAAAGAACTCTCTGTAAACAAATCACTCTAAGATTTGGCCGTGCGGTACTTCAATATAAAAGCTTTTAAATTACCTGCCACCTCACACTGCAATAGTGCGTGGTAACCGGATTATGCCATTTCACCGTTAGTTACTGCTGGGTACGTATATCTATATTTGAATTGTACCTTAGTTTAAATATTCTCTCTCTCTCTCTCTCTCTCAAGCAAATACCGGGTACAATATACAACGTGTTACAATTCTGTACAACACACAACACAATTATACTGTATGTTATACTACAATATAACTCATTACGATATGGTACATTGCACAAGGCAAGTTTTTGCTTGTGAACCTGGTGAACCATGCAACCGTACATGCATATACAACTGTACCTGTACTTGGTTAATTGAAGCTTTTACATTAAATATTACATTAAACATTTTTAGCAGGGTCTTACATGAATATGTAATACTAGTTGCCATAGTAAATAGCATCTCTCTTTTTCTTTATCTTTCCACAAACCCTGACCAAAACAACATTTGTACTGTACTTGACTGCTGCTCTAGGATAGCATCATACTGGTATACATGTACTATATATATATATATATATATATATATATATATATATATATATATATATATTAATTTTTGTTCTCTTTACAGCATGTCACATCTGTCTTCCGTGATTGAAATGTTATGGGTCAAGAACCTTCCAAACAACTGAGAAAAGCCATTAATGAAAATGATATCACCAGAGTGAAAAACATTTTAAGTTATGCAGGCACAAATGCAAAGGATCTTTGTGAAGAGCCGTTTGAGCTGACTAACTGTTTATCATTCTGGCCTAAGTACAGCAATGCCTTGCATTATGCTCTGTATAAAGGCCACTTGGAAATTTTGGAACTAATCCTAAAGGCTGGTGCAAATGTCAACTCCACTGCTGTCGATCTTGGCTGGACCCCCTTACATGTCTGTGGCAGATATAACTTGGTAGATGCTGCTAAATTATTGTTAAGTCATGGTGCTGATTTATATGCCTTTGATAACAAGGGAAGGTATCCAATACACAGCGCATGCATGTCTCCTTATGTATTTGACACATCGCCCATAGTGGAACTCTTCCTTGCAAGTGCCCCTTCTGGGCCCATTGAGTATGCTGGTGCAAAGGATTTTTCTGGAAAGACCCCTCTGCATGAGGCAGCAAGGTCACAGAAAGTGGTTGTGATTGGTGTATTGAAGAGGGCAGGAGTGGACACGGAGGTTAAGTGTAGCAAAGGTCTTACTCCAAGGGATGAAGGGAAGTGGTACCCCTGGGTTTTGCAGGCGTTAGATGAAGATGTAAAAGAAGACATGGAAAAAGTGTAAATTCCGCTTGTGATACACTGTATATTGAATCCTTTATATATAGATTTAGTCATGCCAATATTTCAAAATGAGTTGTGTGTGTTAGAATTGTAGCTACTGCTATGAAATGTATGGAGTTTAATCTGAAAGGCAAAGTCAAAGTTGGTCTGTTAACAGTAGATTTTGTACCTGCCCAATGCTTGCAGTTTTGACCCTGCTTGGAAAAACTGTATGCCCTTTACTAATGCCCTCAAGTGGATATTGGATAATGAATATTTATATATGTAGAGGTATTCCATGTCACAAATTAAGAACTAATGGATTTTTAAGCATTTTACTGTAGATTTCTCCAGTTTCTGACTTAACTTTCAAAGGATTGAGTTTTAAAAGAGCTGCCCTCCACCTTTAACATTCTGAACTTGTCAATTCATTTGATGTTAGAAACTGCACCCGAATCAAAATGTTATTTTTACGAAAAAGGAACAGAATTTTATTTTATATGTTTAGACATTAATTAGAACTTGATTAATCAGAGAAATGTCAGTTAAATAGTAACATGAAAAAGGGAATTATGTATATTTTCTTTCCATGAACATTTCCACGTCTATGTGTAAATTTATCTTTGTTCTTTCTCTTGATGAAGTGAAGGGTTGGTTAGTACCAACCAAGAAGAGCTCCTTACTAATTCAAACAAAACATTCAGACAGTGGTGCTTAAAAGTCTAGTGGATTGAATCCAGTTGGTTAAAACATTTTATCCCATATGATTTATACTGGGGGTGGGGGGGTAGACAATACTTAATTGTACATTCCTGCATTATGGCATGTAAATATTGTCTTTCTTTGTAGTCTTCTTTAAGGAAATACAGGATGTGTGCCATGTTTAAATACAGCTCTAAAAAGCTTCTAGTCTGTAATAATTTTTTTAATCGAAGATCTGTTTATTTTTTATATTGTACTGAGCAAAATCATGTTATTCAGGATCTTGCTTTTTACAATTAAATTTTGTATCATTGTTGTAAATCTAAAAATACAGTGCAGTCTTTATCCAATATAACAAAATGCTGATTAAGTTTTGGAGTACATTTATGTAAACTGTTTAATTCTTTTTTAGTAGATTATACTTAATCATTTTTAAGATTTGAAAGTACAATATCTGTGATATCATTTGGTGATGCCTTTTGGTGGTATCAATAAAATAAAAATTTTAATTGTTCTGCTCACAATTGTTCTGCTGTGGTGGTTTTTCTCTTGATGTCACAGAAGGAGTACTGCATGTGTAATGAAATTGATCAGAAAGCACACAACTTGTGAAAATGCAAAATTAGTTTTTAAAACCCAAATAAATTAATAAATTTATAGAGTACACTTATACAAGACATCTGATAATGATACCTCATGTTTAAATGACTCTACACTGTATTATAATTAATAGTTTTTTACTTATATACAATATCAAACAAAAATAACAAATGATTATTTTTTCAATTTGAAAAATTAGTGATTTTACAGATTCTGCACTTTTTTAATCATAACTCTTTAACATAAGGACACTCCTTTCAAGTGGTACAACAAAACTAATAGACTACTACTACTGCAGACTACCTGGACAATGAAACACTTTTCCAGCAGACATGACATACAGGGGCCGGTTTTACGAAGCAGTAACATTCAAACACCTGTTTCAAGGTCCCTCGTAAACAAGAGACTATTGCCAACTGGTTATTTTGCACAAAGACCAGTAAAAAAAAACTCTCTTTACTGCAGGTCATATACAGCAATGTGGGCAACGGGCACTGGACCACGTGCATTTGTAGCCAAACCACTGGAATCATGTCGTTTTCAGTGATGAGGACAGATGTGAAGTTTTTAGGGATGGCAGTCGAATCCATGCCTGCAAGCATGTACAACAGGCATAAAACAATGCTTGTGTACTGCCTTGGGTGCAAGCAGGAGGTGGTAGCATCTCTGGTGCCAAGAGCCAGTTACTTTTTCTATAAGGCAACCTGAACCAGGATTCCTACAGAGACATTCTACAGCAAACAATGCTTCCCTTCACCACCTTCAGGAACAACTTTGAGTACCAAGATGACAACGTACCCACTGTTTTTCTTCAAAACCAAGGGGTCCAGCAACTGCCTTGGCCTGCAAACTCCCCAGATTTGAACCCAACTGAAGATCTGTGGGCGAAAGTCACTCACAGAATTCATAGCTACTATCATTAGCCGTAAATCATGATGAACTATGACAGACAATTATCACTGTGTGGAATGATATCCCCATCCAAATTTGAGAAACTTGTAAAAGGATATGCCACGTGGTTGGAAGGTGCTGCAAGCAGCTGCGTAGCCAGGTGTACTGCCAGCATTGGGCTGGTGGTACGAGCCAAAAACATAGTGAATTTTTCCATGTTTTTTCACTAAATTGAAGACATGTTACATAGCATGTACATAACATTTTACAAAACGTTTATTTCAACATTTCACACATTTGATAAATCCCACATTCTGAAGCAAAAAGGACACTTTATAAACATTATTCATAAGAGGCATTTCAATGATCTCATATAGCAGCTATCTTCCAGTTTATGTCACCTTTTTAATTTGAAATATTAGGTCTCTCAAGGGGACACTCACAAAAAAAAAGACTAAAAATGTGTCATATTTTTCAAGCATCTTTCATCAAAAAAGGAATGTTTTTTTGATCTCTTGTTTCCTGTCTCTTCACTTTTATAAAATGTGAAAAGAGAATGTGTTCCAGCTGAATCTTTTTTTCTTTTCTTATCATTTTGGTCATCATCATCGTCATCTTCCCTGCAATGAAATAAATTGAGATATTTACAGTATAGACAAAATGTCATGAAAAATAAGTTCCTGTTGATTCAGCAGTTTATGAAATGAATGGTAAAAGGATACATCCCCCAAATAAACTTTACAGTGTAAAATTGGCAATGAAAAATCAAAAGCAAGATTGTGTCAGTTGTACTGTATTCTGGGTTCTTCCACTTCACTATTTGATCTGACCAAAATATGGTCCATGTTAAGTTTTCTACTTAAAAACCATCTAGTAGTTTGCTAACTAATGCCTCTTCTGGACCTAGGTTTTTAACAAACAAACACATTGAATGTGCATCTAAATTATCTTTTCTTTTTGCCTAAAACAATATCTACATATAATGAAAATTTTTATGCCAAAAAGTTCAGCACTTAAACACTTGAAATATGAATGCAATACCAGTTGTTTAGAATGTTTGAATGCATAAAATACAGTGAGAAACTTAAATGTCAAAACTTTTCTCGGAGAAATAAGCAAATATAACTTCAGCACCAAGGTAAATGTTATCCAAAAGCACTAAGTAAATTACTTACTGTACACTAGTTTTTAAGTTCTAAATGTCTAATTTTTACCATCAAAAGTGAAATTCACAATTCATGGAGAGTAATTCTGTGCACAGTTCTAGATAAGATCAAGCTCGGTAATCAAGGGTTAAGTGTTGAATTTCCAAAAAATCAATTTTTGCAATATAAAGTTTCACTGCTCATTATGTGCCTTTAAGTCACCTACCATTTCACAGAGACAGCATTTTTCTGCAACAAAAGGTCTGCAGTCGACCAACTAAAACGCACAAACTGAGGAAATCCAAACACGGGGTCAAGATAATCAGTAAGGAATTTCTTTGTTGCTGGGTCTGAAAAAAATTGGACAAAAGATTACACAAATGTTAAATTTACATTTTAATTTGCATAAAGCAAAATAAAGGCATGTATTAAAGAAATAATATAAATCATATTTACAAAGTGTATCTCAAAACTGTATTTCTCTGCACTTAAAAGAATCACTTACCCCCAGGATAGCCAGACCCAAAGTTTTCCACTGTAATCCCCTCTTTAAAAGTCCAGTTCTTGACTGCATTATCACGAGCTACCTATATAACATTCCAGAATTGCATCATGTTAATGCAGAGGCATTACAAATGATATTATATGATATGATAATTTTAATGAGGTCAAAATTCCCCATTAGAGTTTATTGAATCCTTCAAATTATATCTCAAACTAACCAACATATGTGCTATCCCACCTAATTGTTACCCAAGTTTTAATTTCAAAGTGGGCTAGCTTCTTCATTTTCAAATTTCCACATATGCCCAATTATATCATATGTGTAACACAAAAAATGGAGAATTGAACTGAAATGAAGACGGAGATACACATTGCATCTGAAGCTGTAGGTCACATATCTGATGCACAAATTACTTATCTTTAACTTTTTTTGCAGAGTAGTATAGAGAAGAGAATTGTAATAGACCAGTCTAGTCTTGTTTACCTTCGCACATATACTTGCAGCACTAACTATTGGATAAATGGAGTCGGCTTTCTTGGCTACTGTTATGTCCAGATCTGGAAAGATGCCTTTCAGTTTTGCTTGATACTTTGCTGGGTCACCTACTGTGTCAACATATACCTGAAAAGAATGAATGATTATATTTATATAACTGAATACACAAGTAAATAAATATTGGTAATATTTGAAAAAAAAATTTGAAATTTCATAACTTTCAATGTGATCATCTAACCATTAACATGAAATCCTTCTGACAAGTCTGGCGTCATTTCTGCTCAAAATGAAATGGTAAGGCTAAGTCAGGAGTTACGAAGTGAAAGAACAGAATATCGCAGTGTAATACATATAGTTATTTTCATTTTATGATATATCTATGGCTCTATAGAAATGTACTGATTTGCAAAAAAGAAAACATACCTCTTTTAAATTTGCACCTTTGTCAAGGACTTTTTGTATTAAACCTATAGCACAATCATGTGATAGGGCATTAAGATTATACTTTGACCTGAAATAAATTACACTAATTATATATATATAATAAAATAACCAGATACACTGTCAATGCCCAATCTTATCAATGACTTCATAAATGTTCTAAAATTTCAGTCTTAAAGTCATTTTCATTTTATGAATCTTTAAGTTATTGATTTTCATTTGACTGTACATGTTAAAATCCAAGTACGAATACATGTAATTATAATCAAGGGACTTGAGTAAACAATATACTGACAAAATACAAAGTTTACAATTAAAAACGACAAAATAAAACTAAGCTGATTACACAAATGTCAATTTGAAGGATGCGTTGTAATTAGATTCAAGTACCATTTGTTATCAATACTAGTTACATCCATTACCTTCGTAGCATGCTATTAGAAATAAAGTTTGGTGATAAAATTTCTATCATCCATCCAAGGACATCAGTTGAATCTTTTATCTTTTCAAAAAATTTTTCTCTTTGTTCTTCATTTAACACTTTAGAATCTGAAAAAAATAACAGTTGACGGTTAATACTGACAATATTAAATAAAATTATTCCATTTAGCTCAAAGGTCAATAAAAATATTCTTCAGAAACCAAAAATGCTATTTATTAGGCTAAATGCTATGGTCAAAACATCAATTTCATGCCGTTTTGCCCATAAATATGAATCCACTGATGAACTGTAAAGCAGTTCAATAAAACCTACCCGCAAAACCCATCTCTTTCAGCTGATCTTTAAGTGAAATTGGACTGTAGCAGGTACCATAGACCATAGGACCTAAAAAAGAAAACATAGTATTTAATATACAAGATAAAACATACTGTAAAACAGGCATGTTCTAAGGATAATCTGTTTTTTTTTTTTTTGTTTTTACTACATACGGTATTGAATTTACCCATGTATATGATATCAGTGACATAAAGTAAAAGTGATTACCTGGTCATATTTTCAACAAGGCAGCAAAGCTGTCAAATGTACAGACAAAAAACAGGAAATAACTATGCACAAAATAGGCTACTGTCAATTCTGATGCAAAAGTACATTATGTTAAACTGCAAATTCAACATCAAATTTTAATTATGCTCAAGCAGCACCCAAAATTGTGTTTTCTTCTATTCTGATGCAATATTACATAATGGTTAACAGCATAATGACCGTCAATTTTTAATAATAAAATATACATGGATTTTCAGAAAATGTGACTAGCATGGGTCTTCAAGCCCGTGGAACTTCAAAGTTACACCTTGAAAATGCCAATATGTGAAAAATTAAATTTTCACAAAAAAACTGTTTAACTGGCAGTAAGAATTACCAAACAGACTGCATTGCCTACTGAAGCTGTATTTTAGTCCCATGTTTCTTTCCTGTAAGTTTGAGAACAGTAAGTGACATGGTTTTTCTTAAATGGTCATCATGGGGGCAGTGCCCAAAATAGTTTTTTTTT